ATGCAATCAGTGTTGGGAACCTGCCAGCAGGTGAAGGGATCCCAAGGTAGGTGCTGGGCTTGGAGGCCACAGGGGCATAGGCTACCAAGGAGACAGAACTGAACCTCACATCATCCAGAAAATGGTTATTTAGCCAGAGACAGGTAAGATTCCTCAGGGAAGGAACAATGTAAGATAGGCACAGTCGCAAAGGAGCCATTAGGAGAGAACTTGGGGGGGGGGGGGCAACAGAGGTGGGGCACAGACCCTTATCTCCCCAACTTTGCAGGGGCCTGAACCTTCACCCCTTCTGAGGGAGGTCTCCTGCCCCCATGGCTATTTCGCTTCCCATGCACAGCTCAAATCTGGACCCAGGCAACAATCAGAGACGTGGCCGACAGCAGCTGCCCTCTCACTGCAACAAGATATGTTTGAGATGTCTTGTAGCCATGGCATGGGGAGGTGGGTTTTTAATACCCAACTCCAGCCTAGAACCAAGAATGCTCAGAGCCTACTCAAGAAGGCAAATAATCCTTTCCACTAATATACACAGGGTAAAATAAGATTGTTGTTAGAGTGTTGAGTTTGACAATAGAATAGTAGTCAAGTTTTCAGAGTAATTTAAATTGGCTAATTGAAATAAGGGAATATTCTAGAAAAACTGAATGTACTGTACCAAAGCCTCTTCTTAAAGTGTTAACAAAAATTTTGATTGGCAATTCATCTCATGGTAAAATTGCATAACATGTAATGAACCTAAAGCAGTCATATTTTAACTCAAATAATTAAAACATAAAAGCTATCAAGACTACATTATAAAATTCCCAAAAGCCTCCTAATATTTAAATTTAAAAAGGGGGATGATAGTAGAAGAATATCATGTAGGGAAAAATATCCTGTAAGTAAATTACATCTAGAAAATTTTTACTTTAGAAAACTTAATTTCCATTTGTAATGCTAACAGTAAGAAACCCATGAAAAACACACATGGTGTCAAAACAAGCCAGAGGAAAATCATTTTGGCAAAAAAATGAAAGGACCCCAAGTCAAATTTATAGAAAAATATTCCTTTACTAAATTTTGGTCGAGAATATGTTTGTATATTTTCAAAAATAACTCTAAGACCATGTGTATTCCTGCAATAGAGAGGAATTGAAAGGACTGCTCCAGCCATGAAGACAGAAGAGAAACAGAGATGGAAGACGCTAACAACACCTTGCCATACTAGCAGACAGCAGCTGTGCGTTACTGAAGGATGCCCAAGACCAAACCAGACACAGTAAGACCTGCATCACTACCATTTGTCCACCACCCAGAACTGAAATATCATTGCTGACATGTACACCCAAGGAAACATTAAACATTGAAATAGGGACTCAAAAGAACTGTTGGCCCAGAAAGAAACTCATTACAGACTGATTAATTTGCCTCTCAGCAAGTAACCATTATAGCTTGTCTCATTTTCGAATCTTATAAGTGTATTTCTTGTATCACATAATCTCACACATCTAAGGGAAATAATGAACAACCTAAGCTGAAGAACAAAAACAGACCCAGTGACAGGGAAGCATCCATCAGACTGTCAAACCTCAGAGGGAAGAAGGGTAGAGGGAAGGGGGAGAGATCAACCAAAGGACTTGGATAAGCCTAACCAGTGGTCATGTACTTCAGGGGGGTGGGGACATATGTGGGGAGGGGATGGAAATAGGGGGGTGAGGACAATTATGTGATACCATAACCAATAAAGAAATTTAAAAAATATAAAAAGTTAAAAAAATAAAAAATTGTGGTACATCTACACAATGGGATATTATGCTACAGTAAAAAAGAAGTAGATCCTACCATTTGCTACAACATGGAAATGGAGAGCATTATGTTAAGTGAAATAAGCCAGGCAGAGAAAGATAAATATCATATGATCTCACTCATTTGTGGAATATAATGAACGGCATAGACTGATGAACAAGAACAAATCCAGAGACTGAGAAAAATTAATCAGAATGTAATACCTCAGGGAAGGTAGGAGAGGGTGGGGATAAGGTGGAGAGATCAACCAAAGGACTTGTGTACATGCAAATAAGCCTAATCAATGGGCACAGACAAGAGGATGGGGTATAAGTGGGGGTTTGGGGTTATGGGAGAATAAGGACACATATGTAAAAAATAAAAAATTATAAAAAAATAAAATATTAAATCTAATCCATACTAGTGGTCACCACAACCTTAAAAGAAATTGTTACATGTGACACAGATTTTTAAATGAAACTCTCTGTAGCCTGAAAATTATTTTGAAAAGAAACAAAAAGAAGTTCCCTTCAAAAGTCGTAAGGATTGTAATTGAAAGTCCATATATTTGGCCTCTTGAACTAAAGTAAGTAATTTGTATTTTTGCCTCCTTGACAAAGTTTATATAAAGTTACAAAAAGAAATTGACAGCCAGTTTGAAATTGACTTGCCATGGCCTAGAGCAAAGAATATTCTTACATGATATTATCCTACAATGTCATTATAATTTTAGATATTTTACAACAGCATATTGTACAATTATCCCAAACTTAAAAACTAATTTTTTGAATGCTTGGCAGCAATTTAAAAAAGGACATGAAAGGATTTAATCCCTTTCAGAAGGAATTAAGATGTTGGGAAGGTACTTGAGCATTCTATATTGACCCCTCTTGCCTTTTTTTTTTTTTTTTTTTTTTTTTTTTTGCCAAGAGGGATCCTCTTCTCACAAACCAGTTGCCCTCAGCTGTTGCCTGAGCATTCTGTTCATGCTAAGCTTGAATCCTTGTGGTGGCTGGTACAATGAATTTGTCTCTCACCCAATCCTGTGAGCTGGGCCCTCCCTGGAGAAGAAACCTGAGTTCCCTGAGATATGTGATCAGTGCTGGGGCCCCACCAGCAGGCGAGGGGATCCCAAGGCATGTGCTGGGTATGGAGGCCACATGGGCATAGGCTACCAAAAAGACAGAACTGAACCTTACATTACCCTGCTTGGCCCCAGAGGATGGCTGGTTAGCCAGAGATGGGTAAGATTCCTCAGAAAAGAAACAATCTAAGACACAGTCACAGAGGGGCCATCAGGAGAGAACTTGGGGGTCAACAGAGGTGGGGCACAGATCCTCACACCCCCAACCTTACAGGGGCCTGAACCCTCACCCCTTCTGAGGGAGGTCTCCTGCCCTCAGGGCTGCTTTGCTTCCCATGCCCAGCTCAGATTGGGACACAGGTGAGGGACAGAGACTTTGCTGACATCAGCTGCCCTATATCTAAGTCCAGCCTAGCACCAGGAATGCTCAGGGCCTACTCAAGAATGGAAATTATCCTTTCCACTAATATTTACAGGGTAAACTAAGGTTGTTGGTAGAGTAATAATTTTGACAGTAAAATAGTAATCAAGTTTTCAGATTAATTTAAATAGGCTAATTGAAATAAGTGAATATTCAAGAAAATTTAATTGTACTGGAAAAAAGCTATTCCTAAAGTAGTAACTAAAATTTCTATTGGTAGTTCATCTCATGGTAAAATTCCTGAACATGCAATGAACCTAAAGTAGTCACATTTTTGTGCAAGAAATTAAAATTTAAAGTTATCAATACTGCATTATAAAATTTACAAAAGCCTCCATCAATCAAAAAAAGGGGGAGAGTAGGGTAATATCATGTAAGGAAAAATATCCTATAAGTAAATTACATCTAGAAAAATTTTACTTTACAAAATTAATTTTCATTTGTAATACTAGCAGCAAGACACCCATGAAAAACACACATGGTGTCTAAATAAGACAAAGGAAAATCGTTTGGGCAAAAATAAACAGGATCCCAAATCAATTATATAGAAAACATTTCTTTATTAACTTTTGGTCAAAAATATGTTTGTATATTTTCAGAAAACAACTCCAAGACCATGTGGATTCCTGCAACAGAAAGGAATTGGCAGGTCTGCTCCAACTAGGAAGATAAGAGGAGAAACAGCCCAGAGATAAAAGATGCTAAGGACACCTGGCCATGCTAGCAGTCAGCAGCTGTGCGTTGCTGCAGGTTGCCCAGGACCAAACCAGAGAGAATTGGACCTGCATTGCCACCATCTGTCCATCATTCAGATATCATTGCTGACATGTACACATAAGGAACTGTTTGACATTGAAACGGGCACTCAGAACTGTTGGACATTGAAATTAGGACTCAAACATTTTTTGTTATTATGTTTATTTCTAGTCTGCAGAGGTAAGATTTTTTTTAAAGGAAAGAAATGGGGAAAAATAGATACAGAGGCAAAGAAGCAATGAATAGACTGTCAAACTACAGCAGAAAGGCAAGGGAGGTTGCTGGGGATGGGGGTGGGGGGATGACTGTAAGAGATCAACAGAAGGACTTGTACGCATGCATATGAACATAACCAATGGATAGGAGACACTGCGGGGTGGGGGGGCAGGTGAGGAGTAGGGGAGGCCAGGGGGAGGTCTATTGGGGGGGGGGGAGGAGACATATGTACTATTTGTAATACTTCAAACAATAAAAAATAAATAAATAAAATAAAATAAAAATAAATGCTGGAAAAAAAAGAATCATAAGACAAAATACACCAGTGTTGTTTATAGCCACAAACTATCAAAAATTTTTACATAATAAATCACTTATATACACACAAACAAATATAGTATATTGAGTCAGATAACCTGTGTCCATATTCCAGTTCATCAAGTTTCCAAGCAAGTTACATTTCATGTACAAAAACAATTACCAAGATGGAATTTGGGCTCTCCCCACCTCAAATGACATTTTCTTAATAAGAATAGACTAATTTTAAGGGTCTTTGGTAACAGAAAATAACAGGAAATGAATTTGTCAGAGCTCTGAAAATTCTATCAGCATAGAGGGTTAATCAACAAACATCTTATGCCCAAAAACACCTTCAAAACCCTTGTCCCTTCATAGAGGTAGTTCCTATTGTATTCCTGTTTTTATGTTTTTCTTACACAATAGAGACAGGAACATGAATTCCAAATCCCAACAACTCACCATTGACAATCAGTTGTATGGTGAGGTTTTTGTAGAGTCCATGCTTGCTGTTGCTCAGAGCAAAAGTGTAGTTCCCTGCATGCTTTACATTCACGTCCAGGATTGTGAGTTTGTACTTGACAGGGTCAAGTTGAATGGTATGGTTTACTAGGAGTGGTTTTCCATCCTTGAACCTATGAGGCATGGGGAATGAATGGTTACTACAGTGACAGCTTCTAGGACATGCACTTTATACCCCAAGGCCATTTTGATTATGCTTCATCATGATTAGAAAGGAGAGGTTAAACAGTAGAATTCTCTCTATAAAACTCTCAGGCTAGAGCAAATTTGTACAGCCATACTGGTATTAAAAATTAAATCTGTCTTTTCCTTTTTCCTTAATAATAAAAACTTTTGGAAAGTGGCCTCACTTATGCTGCCACTTCCTCACTTTCCATTCTTTTCTTAATACTTGAAACTCAGATTTTTCTCTCTGACATTCAAAAGCATATTCTCCAGGCTTACCAGTAATGCCCTGCTTATCAAAGCCAGTGGCCTTCTCTCAGCATTCTCAAATGTCAGATCTTCGAGAGCCTCTGGGACACTATCTAATCATTGTTTCTTTCTCTTCACTGACTCTTCTTCCATTTCCTTTCCCCTTAATTATGTTTCCCACAGAGCAAGAACTTAAAATACTTCAGCACACTGCTGAAATAAGGAGATAGGGGGCTTTGGATAAGAAATTTAGGAGGTGCTAATGAGCTGTATAAGTATAAGGTGTTGTGTAAATATCAGTAAGAACATAATAAAGGCTTAAACACCCCAATATAAGTGTTCCCCCTGTATTTTGCCTTTGGGTTCTTTTTTCCGGATGCACTCTACTTCAGTGCATTTATCCACTCCCAGTTGATGACTCCCCAGCTGACAGTTTCAACATGTAGTTCCAGACCCATATTTCAAAATGTTAATTGACCATCTCTAAATAAGCTCATTTTGGTGCTCCTTTCCTGCTCCATTCACACTACATTTTCATTCTGATGAAACCCAGACTGGTAATAGCAGCACCAGTCTCACATTCCACCAAACTTGAAAATTGTGAAAGCACTTCTAATTTTAGGGTTTTTATTCATACATCTAATTGGATACTGAATTCTGAAGATTCTGCTTCTGCAATGTTTTCTAAATCTATTTCTTCTTATATCTCATTGCCTTCAAATTATGCAGGGCCATATAATGTCTCACAACTATTACTATAACCCTAAAAGCTGGTAGCTATTTCTCTAGTCTTTCTCCATTTTAAACCATTTGACACACATAAGGCCACATTAATATTCCCTAAATATTAGCATCAAATATATCACTCCTGACTCAAGTCTTTGATGGTTCTCTACTGTCTACTTTAATAAGCATTTGAGATTTTAAAAAACAATAATTTATCATTTACTCAGAGCAATTCTATAACAATAAAATATCACCACCCAAATTTTACAGATAAAGAAACTAAAACTTAGAGAGTTTAAGTCATTTGCTTGGTAACTTGATGAACTGGGATTAGATTACAGGTTGCCTGGCTCAAAAGCCTATATTCTTTCTATTGTAGTATTTATTACTATTCATGGATCTCTATTAGACTGGGTAAGATCACCTTTAAGACTCCTTCCAAATCTGAGATTGTGGAATTCTGCAACGGCCTTGGTACCTTCCCAGTCTTATTTATTCCTCTCTTTTCAGGATAGAAAACTCCTTTTTCCAAATACATGAAAGATCAATAAAAGAAAGTGAAAACAAGCAAAGAAACCTTTGGAGGATAATATAAAGCACTAGTTTCTAGGGCTGTCAGTGCCCTGAAAGTAGGGTTGGGGTTGAGTATATTTCTGAGTGCTCAATACCTAGCTCAGGGTCTGCTGCATGACTGATCTTCAGTAAGGATGTATTGAAGGAGCAGGTGTTAAGGGTGGGGATTAGACTCTGGGAAACAGAAAACACCAAGGATAGAAGGCCCTACTTACCAAGTTACATTGGGGTGAGGGAAAGCATCCACTCTTACTCCCATTTTGAGCATATTTTGTCCAGCTGTCACCTCATAAATGCGGCTTCTCTTGTAGCTCACATTGAGGAATGATTTCTCTGGAAATAGAACAGGGATGGAATCAGAAGAAGAAGGTTTAACTGAGTCCCAATTTTGTTCACACTTCCCATTAGCAATCACACCCTTCCCAGCCCCAGAGGAATCAATCTTGATTATCATATGCTGCTGTTTCTCAGTGTGGGTTGGAGGGAGGCTCTGTTGGAATTTTTAAAGGGATAATTCCTTATTTCATTTTTCTTTTTTAAAATCTTAACCTGATATATTCATTGATTTCTTTATTCTTTTTTGTTGTTGATAGTATTACAGATGTCTCCCATTTTCTCCCTTTTTGCTCTCTCCTATCCAATCCCTGCCACACACCAGGCCTTCCTCATACTATTATCTGTGTCCATGAGATATGCATGTATGCATATATATCATTTGGTTAATCTCTTCCTGTATCCTTCCAATTCCTACCCTCCTCACCTCCCTACTGATATCTGTTATTCTGTTCTATGCATCCACACCTCTGGATTTATTTTGTTCATTAGATTCCACATATAAGTAAGATCATATGGTATTTGTCTTTCTCTGAATGGCTTATTTCACTTGGCATAGTAGTCTCTAGGTCCCTCCATGCTGTCTCAAAGGGTGAGAGATCTTTCATTTTTACAGCTGCATATGTATCACATCTTTTGTATCCACTCATATACTGATGGTCACTTGGGCTGTTTCCAGATTTTAACTATTTAAATAATGCTGCTAAGAACATAAGGATGCATTTTTCTTAATTTAAACTCTTTATTTGTAATACTTTATTGTTTAAAGTATTACATATGTCTCCTTTTTCCCATTGACGGCTCCACAGCCATTTATACCCCCCCAGCATGTGCCCTCATGCCCCTACTGTCTGTGCCCATGGGTTATGCTTATATACATGCATACAAGTTATTTCATTGATCTCTTACCCCCTTACCCCCCACCTTCCCTCTGAGGTTAGATGATCTGTTCAATGCTTCTATGTCTCTGGATCTGTTTTTGTTCATCAATTTATGTTGTTCATTATATTCCACAAATGAGTAAGATCATGTGATATTTATGAAACCAACTGGCTGGTTTCACTTAGCATAATGCTCTCCAGGTCCATCCATGCTGTTGCAAATGGTAAGAGCTCCTTCTTTTTTACAGCAGCGTAGTATTTTATTGTGTAGATGTATCCACACATCTTCCAATGGGCACTTAGGCTGTTTCCAAATCTTAGGTATTATAAATTGTGCTGCTATGAACATAGGGGTACATATATCCTTTCTATTGGTGTTTCTGATTTCTTGGACTATATTCCCAGAAGTTGGATTACTGGGTCAAATGGGAGTTCCATTTTAAGTTTTTGAGGAAACTCCATTCTGTTTTCCACAGTGGTTGCACCAGTCTGCATTCTCACCAGCAGTGTACTAGGGTCCCCTTTCCTCTACATTCTTGTCAACACTTGTTATTTATTTATTGATAATACTTTATTGGTATTTATCTTTCTCTAAATGGCTTATTTCACTTAGCATAGTAGTCTCCAGGTCCCTACCATTCTGGTGGGTGTGAGGTGATACCTCATTGTAGTTTTAATTTGCATATCTCTGATGTTTAGTGAAGTTGAGCATTTTTTCATATGGCTATGTTCTCTTTGGAGAGGTGCCTATTCAGGTCCTATGCCAACTTTTTAAATTGAATTGCTTGTTTTTCTGGCATTGAATTGTATTAGTTCTTTGTATATTCTGATAATTAACTCCTTATTAGATTTGTGAATATACATCTGACAGTAAGTTTCCTTTTCATTTTGCTAATGGTTTCTTTTGCTCTTCAGACATTTTCTAGTTTGATTTAGTAACATTTGTTAATTTTTTTCCCTTTGTTCCCTTTGTCCAAGGCAATGTATTGGTGAAAATACTGCTATGTGAGATGTCTGAGATTTTATTGCCTATGTTTTCTTCTAGGGTTTTTATGGTTTCGTAATTTACAATTAAGTCTTTTATCCATTTTGAGTTTATTCCTGTGTATGGTAAAAGTTGGTGGTCTAGTTTGATTGTTTTGTATGTATCTGTACAATTTCAAATGGTTAATTCTTTGTTGTGCAATACTGTCCTGAACTTTGATAAATGTTTATAATCCTTGCTCTGTCCAATCAATTCTACTAGTAACCCTCAGCCATTTTGACAAAGAAAAAGATGCCCTCATGCATTTCCCAATAGGCATTACTGCCTGTGAGTTGAGAACCAACAACGTAGGCCAAGAATGTTGGTCTTATTCTTTGCCAGATAATTATTTAAACATGGGCAGGTAATATATCTATGAACAATAAAACAAAAGGAGAAGTTAGCTAGAGTACCTTGGGAAAGATTTTTGAAACTTAAAAGGAGACACAATTTTTGTGATTTTTACTTTTACCTCTAAGACACTATCATTGGCATATGGGGTTTTGGACTGTGGAAACATGAGGGGTACTTTGAAGATAATGAATAAAACAGATGAAGGAACCTAACTTCTAGAGGGCATTGATCATCCACTAAGTCAATCAGCACTGGAACTGTAAACCTTGGGACTCCTTGTTGCATGAGGTATTTGTCCTTATTGTTTCAGCTATTTTTAGTCAAGTTTATTCTTGCATGAAACTGAAGGCGACCCAGATGATATCAGTGGCTGTATGGAACCCAGAAGCTAAGATAAATAAAGTAGGTTACCTTATAAACCAGGGTATAGAAAGTTGAACTATGCTTAAGTGCTTAAATTTCTTGCTACAGAATAAATCCACACTGTGTATGTTTGTGTTTTGTAAGTATTTGTGTGTGAATAGATAATAGTATTTGTGGCTTAGGATTTTATGTATCCATGTAAATATTAGTTATGTCTATATAACTGTACAATGATGAATATGGGTATTAATGTGTTTGTGTGAGCATGTATTAGTATATTTTTGCATATGTGTATGTATGTAGATGTGTCTATAAGAAAAGAGCTTCATAAACACAGGGTAGGTCAAGCTGAGGTTCATTTAATTATTTTCACTAGAAAATCTATGGTCACATTGATATCAGAAAAACAAGCTAGAAGCACCCTCAAACATTGTACGGTATTATAATAATGCAAAAAATTATGATAATGATAGATGAGAAAAAATGAAGCCCAAGGAGGTGCAAAAAGTTATCAAAGATCACACAAAAAATTGGCAAAGAAGATAGAATATTCAAGAACCTAGTCTTTACGTGGGCCAAAATACTAATAAGCTACTTCACCCTAAATTCCTAAAACATACACCTGTAACTAGCCAACAGAATGCAAAAGTATTTAAGTTAAATCACAATGCTCCCCAGCAAATAATCCCCATGCCAGAGTGAATGAATACAAAAGGGGATGTCTGACATTTGCTAGCTTTTCTGATTTAAGCACCAAAGCATTTGGACTGTAAGACTTAGAGACTATAATACTGGTAAAAATGAAGATATGTCTGAGTGATTTCTTATATATAGTGGGAAAAGAGTAGGAAGGCAAATTTTCAAGCAAGAGTCAGGAGTAAAAGTATTACGTACTGTACACTGTGATGGTGATGTTGGCTTGCAGGGCAGCATTGTTTTCTCCCCTGCATATGTACAAACCATTGTCTTCCATAGTTACATTCCAAATGGTCAAGTTACTATAACTCTTGTACACAGGGGATCCTTGGTACAATTTTCTTTTAATTTCACAACACCTGGGTGTTGTCTTGGACTGTGGGGTGAGAAAGAAACAAGATAAAATTTTCAACTGAGATTATTAAGCACTCTTAGATACCTAATTTGTCACTGCTCAATAGGAAGCCAAAGAAAATCCCTATGATGACCTGACACTTTTCCTGAACTTCTATTACATTACATATGTAACCAATGAACCATGATGTGGTGAAAAATGAAATGCAATCCCCTTCCGAGAGTGGCTTCCTTAAATGCAGAAGCTGCTTATTATTCGACTTTGTTGATTTGCTTAGCACTTTGCATAGTTCTTGACTCAAAGCTGGAACTGAGTGGGAATGGCAAAGAGAGAAGATGTGGGTGGATTTGTGAAGATTTAGAGCAGGGATACTGTCCTTACATCTTGCCGATTGAACACCCAATTCAGTTTGATTCGTCCATTGAATGTGGTCTCTGCAACACATTGCAGGAAAAGGGTATCTCCTATTAGAAGTTTCTGGTGGTTGTATCTGATGGAGATATTTTCTGTCTTGGTTTCTGGAAAAATATATCAGAGGCATGATAATACTGACAAAGAAGGCAAGAGACAAAAATCTGGATTATGGAGTACTTCTTAGAATTCTCAATTTCTCATTTCCTTTCTTATATTTAAATGTAGACTCAAAACCAAACAAAAAGATTCCATGATTCAGAAACTGCTGAATAAGATTTTATATAAATTATATCAAGAGGCTTGGTGGTGGTGGCAAGGCTATACTTCTAGTTCTTGAGATTTTTCAATGAAAATTATTCTGCAATCCTGCTTAGGAAATCATATACCCAGTTTAATAAACTCTCCATCAGAAAGTTTTTTCTCCTACTGATCTAAAGCCATTGAGCCCTTCTGTGGCTAATTCTGCTACATTTCTGAATACTCTGAGCAAAGGGTCTTCCCTGAGTTAGAAGCCTGTCTTCACTTCTATACAAGAGCAGCAAAGATATCTATTGTTTAGCCACAATATGTACCATCATTTCATAGTTTTGCAAGGATAAACTTATAAAAGCTAAGTATCTATTGCTAGACACTAATAAACCATTGATTTTATGGATCTATTGATCAGGCAACTGAAAACAGTAGCAGAACTTAGTCTGGGTTTTTTTCTGCTGATATACACACATTTCTTAAAATAAAAGCTTAGAATCACTAGTTATTAAGTGATATGGAAGAGATTATAGCTGAAGTAAGGTTTATACAAATAGGAAGAGATTACCAGGAGCAGCAGGATTCCATTTCCTAACTTAAAAACATAAGATCACATACCCAGACGCTGTGGGAGATAGAATGATCTGTGTGTCTTTCCATTAACTTCGGCAATGCACTGGAGCATGCTGCTGTAGAAGTGGTAAGAGGGTCGGGTCACAGTGAAGCCTTTCCTGGGATTCCAGTTTTGGCTTACATAGGAAAATGTGCCAGAGTATAACTATGGGGCAAGAAAGAAGGACATAGAAAGACATACATGTAAAATTCTGGCCAGTCATCAATATCATGCCCAAAATATCTGTTCTGAAGCCACAGAGAGGAGTGGCCTACCCTCCCCATCACCTGCCCAAGTTTCCTTAGAACTGAGTCTGTGCTGGTTACCCTTTCTTTTCTTCTCAGAGATTAGTACAGTGATGGGCTCAGAGTAGATACTCAATAAATAATAATTATACTAATAAACACTTACCTAACACTTACTATGTGTCAGGAACTGTATTAGCTCATTTAATCTTTAAAACAGCTCTATGAGATAGGTATTAATGTTACTCTCATTTTATAGATGAAATTCATAGGGGACACCTTGCTCAACTGATTGCTTATTATTGGATTGAATATCAAGGCTTATATCTCTTATATTGGATATATTTAGAGCCAAAAAGTCTATGCTAAGATTCATTGAGCCTTCTTTTTAAGGTATGTAAGAGAATCGCATCTGTCAGGTTCCACATCTTCTCATGAGGGCCCCTGATATTTATTTACATTTTGTCACTGTAAATGGCTCTGCCTCAGGTAAGAAAGGACATATAAAAAAAGACTTTAAGGAACTTAATGGCCCACATGAAGTCCATTTGTAGTTTTTACTTTCATTCATTTAATCAAACATTTAATATTTAATAGTATCTACTCTGTGCTAGGCAATAGGGATCCAGCTGCAAACAGCACCGACAGTGCTTACTCTCAGCTAGTGTGTTTCTAAACAGATTTGGATTACTAAATCTTCTTTTGATTGATATAAAAGTAATAATATCACTTGTGAACATTTTTTAAATACTGGAGAAAATAAATAATGATGACATATAGCCCAGAAATAGCCATTAGAAATAATAAAACATATTTACTAATAGTCTTTTTTCTATGTATGTATATATTGTTACATAGCCATATTTGTAAAGTATATACAATTTATGCTGTTTGGATTATTCTATTATTTATTTTATCATTCTTTTATTGTTAGATATTTATATTATAATAATTTTTGTTTTATTTAAAACAATGTGAAAATGAATATTTTTGTTTCAATCTTTGCTTATTCACTGGACAAGATCCTTATATGAACAATTACTGGGTCAAAGTGTACAGACATTTTCCAGGCACTTGATGTATTTTGCTGAAGTCCATCACAGAAGGATATACTAATTTATATCCACTGGTATATAAGAATGAACCCTATATTTTAAGGAGGATCTTTACAAATTGAAGCATGGTCAGAGGAAGATGATAAAAACTATGAAGATTCTAGAAGCCTCTTGATATAAGGAATCATTTAAGAAACAGGACATTTTTAGCAGGACCAAAGAAACACTTGAGGATGGAAAGTGGTAGGTGAATTTAGTGATTGGTTAGGGATGGAGTGGCTCTTTCTTAGTATTTAAAGAACTCTTACTTGGGAACTTTTGCCTATAACAGAGGGTATAATGGGGACCAATAAGTGGAAATGACAGTGATGCAGATTTTGGCTCAATCAGATGGTGACTTCTCCGACACTGAAAGTATTGAAACAATAGCTAAATGACTATTTTTCCAGGGTGCTATAAAATAATTTCTGTGGGAAATTAGACTGTAAAGTCTCTTCTAACACTGAGATTTTATCTCTTTTTGACCCATAGTTTAGTTATCTTATTCTTATCCAACAAGATCTACTCAGAGACTTTTATTATTCTTTTCTTTCTTTAAAAAAAACTATTTTATAGGTTTCAGAGAGGAAGGGGGAGGGAGAGAGAGATAGAAACATCCATAATGAGAGAGAATCATTGATTGACTGCCTCCCACATGCCCCCAACTGGGGACTGAGCCTACAACTCAGGCATGTGCCCTCGATCCTCAGGCTGATGCTCTATCTACTGATCCAAACTGGTTAGGGCTATTTGTTTCTCTTTTTAACTTTTAATTTTATTGTTGTTGACACTATTACAGATGCCCCCATTTTCTCCTCTCCTTGCCCGCTTCCATCCAGCCCCTGCCCCCTTCCCTCTGGCCATCACCACATTGGGTTATACACATATGTTCTTTGGCTAATCTCTTCACCTTCTTTCTTCCAATACCCCCAACCCCCACCACCTGACAGCTGTCAGTCTGTTCCATGTATCCATGCCTTTGTTTCTATTTTGCTCATAAGCTGTTGTTTTTTTTCATTAGAATCCACATATAAGTGTGATCATATGCTATTTATCTTTCTCTGGCTTATTTCACTTAGCATAATAATCTCCGTGTTTTGAATATCAGGACAAAGTCATCACATATTGTCTGATAACACAAAACTTAGGGTTGAAAGTTTGTCAAACTTCTTTTTAGTTTCATGTTTTGTTTTTACTTAAGTATTAACTATTTAATTAAAACATTTAAAATCATTTTTCAAAAACCACTTTTCACCAGAATATTTGTTGGCCTCCTTGAGAATCCCTAACACAATTAGTAATTTCACCATAAACTAAATGTGCTTAACTACCAGATGTCCCCAGGGAATCTGACAATTAAAAACCAATAGAATAAAATAAAGAAAACACAAATAACATATGGGATAAATTACAATAAGCAAGAAGAGTCAAAACACCTTGAGTTTATTGCATGCTTATGCAGAAACTCAGTGTTACAGAAATTCAGAGTAATGGTGGGATACTAAAATATTGCACTATCTGATTGCAGAATTGAAATACTGTGTCTTAATACTTTTTCCATTTGAACTACTAAAGCCTCAGTCCTAAGAAAGAAACTCATTCATTTAATTGACCCTATAGGTTCATGGTTCTCAATAAAGGGCTGGGGAAGGGTTTGGCTCCCCAGAGGATATTTGGTAACGTTTTGGAAACATTTTTGGTTGCCACAAATTGGGGGATGGCGGTTGCTACTGGCATTTAGTAGGTAGAGGCCAGGGATGCTGTTAAGCATCCCGTAATGCACAGGACAGCTCCAACCCTACAACAAATAATTATCTGACACCGCAGGTCAATAGTACCAAGTTAACAAAAAAGCCGTCTATAAGATTTCACCTCCAAAATCTCTGTTTTGCCCTTCCTCTTCCCTTCCATTCTAAATTATATTTCCTTTATCTACATTAAACACTTCATTAGACAAAATTGCTCAAAATAAGAACCCTATTTTTGTCTCTGCCTCTTCCTATTAACCATCCCTGACATCCCTCTCATCACTAAACAAACACGTCCTTTAACTATGTAGTTTGTGTGAGAGCTTCCATTTTCATATAAATCCTTCCCCTTTTGCCACAGTAATCAGTCTAGAAATGGGCATCAGATTTTAGGTAGGGCAATCAAAATCCTTCCCTGTGATTATTTTGTAATTTGGGGTCAGAGAAGAAATGCCTCACAATTATTCTCTGGCAATAAATACTTCATGTACTGTAGATAACCACATTCCCCTTGTAAAAGAAGCAACTCTGTGGTATTCAGTAGAGGAGCTGTTACTAAACTCATGCCCCTGAGGTTTAGCCATACTCTTCTTTTTAAAATACACTTTCTATTTTACCTACTAATTCTAGTGTGTTAGTTTTTTTTGGATTTCTATTGGTTTCAAGCAATAATCCTGGATACTCCATGTTTTCTTACCTCTATTTCTGTTCCTTGCTCAATTATCCACCTAAAGTGCTTCTAGTTATTTACCAGGACCCAGTTTAGTTTAGCACCTCAGAAAAGACTGACTTAGGAAATTAATTTGTTTTTCCTCTTTATTCCCACTGTGTCTGGTACATACAGATATCTAATAGAGCAATTAAACAAACAAACAAATTAGTAATAACACTCACACACATACACACACAGGGACACCACACTACTTGTAAGTCAGGAATTGAACCCTGAGAACATCAATTGTGTATATTAAATAAGATAATGCAAATAAAGCTCTCAGCAGAGTACATGGCACTGGTAACAGCCTGTAATGTTTTGAAGAGTGACCCCTCCAAAATTAGATGAGATGTTATTTATAAAAGGAATCTTTGCAGATATAATTAAATTTGGGATATTGAGATGAGATCATCCTGGATTAGTCTAGGTCCTAAGTCCAATGATATGTGTACTTATAAAAGACAGGACAAGAGAAGACATACATAGAGACAGAAAAGATAAAGCTATATAAGGACAGAGGCAAAGACCAGTGTTACCCAGTATCAAGCCAAGGAATGGGTGGAGCCACTGGATATTGGAAGAGACAAGGAAGGATTCTCTTATAGAGACTACAGTAAGAATATGTTCCTGCTAAAACTTTGATTTCAGACTTCTGGCTTTCAGACCTATGAGAGAATATATTACTACTAGAGGCCCGGTGCACAAAATTCATGCATTGGTGGTGGTGGGGGGTGTCCCTCAGCTGAGCCTGCACCCCTCTCCAATCTGTGACCCCTTGAGGAATGTCTGACTGACCATGTAGGCCCGACTCTATGGGATCGGGCCTAAACAGGCAGTTAGACATCCCTCTCACAATCCAGGACTGCTGGCTTCCAACCACTTGCCTGCCTGCCTGCCTACCTGCCTAATTGCCCCTTACAGCTTCTGCCTGCCAGCCTGATCACCCCCTAACTATTCCCATGCCAGCCTGATCAATGCCTAAATGTTCCCCTGCCTGCCTGATTGCCCCCAACTTCTCTTCCCTTCAGGCCTGGTCCCCCCTAACTGCCCTTTCCTGCAGGCCTGCTCACCCCCAACTGCCCTCCCCTGAAGGCCTGGCCCCTCCCAACTGCCCTCACAAGCAGGCTTGGTATTTCCCAGCTGCCCTTCCCTGCTGGCCTGGTCTCCCTTAAATACCCTCCCGTACTAGGCTGGTTACCTCAAATTGGCCACCCCTTCAAGCTCGTCACCCCTAATGGCCCTCCCTTGCAGGCCTGATCACCACCAACTACCCTCCCTTGCAGACCTGGTCCTCCCAACTGCCCTCCTCTGCAGGCCTAGTCCCTCCTAACTGCCCTCCCCTGAAGGCCTGGTCTCCTCCAATTGCCCTCCTCTGTTGGCCTGGTCGCCCCTAACTACCCTCCCCTGCAGGCCCAGTCACCCCTAATTGCCCTCCCCTGCAGGCCTGATCACCCCCAACTGCCCTCTCATGAAGGACTGGTCCCTCCCAACTGACCTCCCCTGCAGGCCCAGTCACCCCCAATGGCCTTCCCCTGAAGGCCTGATCGCCCTCAATTGCCCTCCCCTGAAGGCCTGGTCCCTTCCAACTGCCCTCACCTGCAGACCTGGTACTTTCCAACTGCCCTCCTCTGCAGGTCAGCTGCCTTTTCCTGCTGGCCTGGTTTCCCTTAACTGCTCTCCCCTGCTGGCCTGGCCACTCCTATTCTCTCCTCTGCAGGCCTGGGTCCCTCCCCTGCAGGCCTGGTCCCCGCAACTGCTCTCCCCTGAAGGCCTTGTAGCCCCCAACTGCCCTCCCTTGCAGGCACAGTCACCCCTAATTGCCCTCCCCTGCAAGCCTGGGTTTCTTCCCAACTGCTCTCTCCTGCATGACTGGGTCTCTCCCCTACTGCCCTCCACTGTAGGCCTGGTTGCCCACAACTGTCCTCCCCTGCAGGCCAACTGCCTTACCCTGCCAGCCTGATCTCCTCTAACTGCCTTCCCCTGCCAGCCCAGTCACCCCTAACTGCCCTCCCCTGCTGGCCTGGTCACCCCCTACTGCCCTCCCTTGCAGGTCTGGTCCCTCCCTACTGCCCCCCCTTCTGGCCTGTTCACCCACAACTGCCCTCCTCTTCCAGCCCTCTTATGGTGGCCATCTTGTGTTCACATGGGGATGGCTACCTTTGATCACATGGAGCAGCTCTCTTGTATGTTGGTGTGACGGTAATTTGCACAGTACCTCTTTATTAGATAGGATAGTTTAGGCCACTCACTTTGTGGTAATTTTTATGGTAATTTCCTATGAATATATTTTTGGCAGTGCTTGGCACAGAGTGTACTTGGTAAATGTGTTGGACTGAGCAAATTATATTAAATTTGACTTCAGAATGAGTTCTGTTTTCCTTCTTCATTAAGTTGGATTTGGTTACTCTTACCATTGGTTAAACTCCCTTAAATGTATTGTTGGCTTGCTTTTAACTGAAGTTCACTTTTGATGGAGTTACACTTTAGGAAAAGGGGCCTTCTTCTCTCTCCTCCACCTGTTGAGTGTCACTAAAATCCAATGATGAGACTTAAGTGCAAGAAAGGGAATGCAAACACATACATGGGTTCTGTGAGGACAGAGCAGGAAGTAGGAAAAACACAGACAAGAAGTCTACTTCCAGTCATGATTATCATGATTATACAGTACTTTCACCTACATAACTTATTGTATTTTACAAGGCATAATCCACATTCAGTCTCCTAACTGGTTAAGGATCATTATCCAACCTGAACTCTAGGTTTTCTCGTTCTTAGTCCAGAACTGCTCTCTTTCTATGGGCTTAAGGAAACTGGCCTGATTCTATAGACTAGCTCAAAAGCTATTTACAGTGTGATAAAAACCCTCTTATATCCTCTTCAGAGGCACCTCTTTAATTCAACTCTCAGATAATAGTTGTCAAGCTTTTGGATGAAAATGGTGTCTAAGGGTTGACATAGGGTATTTAGCAAACAGCTCTTTTAAGGGCAGCAATAAGTTGAATTTTTTCCTCCCAGAATACAATGAGATAATAAAGAAGCTAACCTGAAGTATGAAAAATGTTGGTGATTAGAAAAGTAAGTGGAATATTATGGGTTGGTGTCTTTGAAACCCCTTTTAACAGAAGGGTTAGATTTTTGGATACTATGAGATTGCACTCGAATTAAAGCAGCTAAGACTTTAGGAAAAAGCAAATCCCAGGTTTGCCTTGACTCTCATACCCTGACACATCCTCTGGAGGTAAACTGGTTACTCAGCAGGGTTTAATTTTAAAAAATGATGTTTGAAACCAGACAGCTCAGTCCCTTCCTTACCTAGTGCTTCATTTTAGCAGAGAAAAGATACAGTGATTTCAAGCTCCACCAGAGGAAGAAGTAAAAGAAGCCTGGTGGGTATGCTAGAACACTCTCTCTGCCACTAGGTAGGGGAAAGATGAGGTGAACAACCAAGCATATAAATTATTATACAGCAGACTGCATCCTTCCTGCTCCATCCATCCCCACACACCAGTTCTTCTTTTTGGACCAAGTCCCAAAGACAAGGAGCCATCTTCCTTTTCCCTTTAGAAATAGCAGATAGAATATCTTAGGGAAGAGTGGGAGCCAGTGGCTTAGTGAAGGGAGAATGACTGTATGGCTCTGAAGACTGCTCCTCTGAGTGTATAATGAACTTTCTAACAACCTTAGGGGCAGGTAACTCTTCAAAGAGGAGGGTTTATCTATCAGGATAGTGTGGTCTTCAGGGAGTGGCTAATGGAATCCAAAGTCTTCTGTACATTGTTAGAGGTTAAATTCTTCTGCCTATGGGCTTTTGCACTTTCTTATGCCACATCAGTTGTTTTACCAGACATAATCTCCTGGCTGTCCTAGCAGTATTGACAGAAGGCATTGGGAAAATGCTAACATTCCAAGGAAAGAAAGCAAAATGATCTTTGCCTGCTTTTGTTGGATGTCACAGCTTTTTCCAAATAAGAAAACGAGAAAGGGCTTGGGTGCAGAGGACAGCGCATACAGGAGAGGAGCAGAGGAACAGTGCATACAGGAGAGGAGCAGAGGTAATCTTCCATCGCAAAGTAGGTCACAGAATAACAACTGAAACACTTGACAGGGAATCTAACACCTGATTTTTACTTTTGACTATGACACTTAATGAAATATACATCATAAGCAAGTTCTTCCTTTTCTCTAAGCTTAAGATCTGTTATATATAAAACTAAAGAAACAGTGTACAAATTTCATGCATGGGGCCAGGGGAGGGTGCCCCTCAGCCCAGCCTGCACCCTTTACAATCTGGGACCCATCGATGGATGTCTGATTGCCCATTTGGGCCCAATCCCACCTAAATGGGCAGTCGGACATTTCTCTCATAATCCAGGACTGCTGGCTCCCAACTGCTCACCTGCCTGCCTTCCTGATTGCCCCTAACTGCTTCTGCCTGCCAGCCTGATCACCCCCTAACCACTCCCATGCCAGCCTGGTTGATGTCTAACTGCTCCCCTGCCAGCCTGTTTGCCCCCAACTTCCCTCCTCTGCCGGCCTGGTCACCCCTAACTGCCCTCCCCTGCAGGGTTGATCTCCTCCAACTGCCCTTCCTTGCAGGCCTGGTCCCTCTCAACTGCCCTCCCTTGTAGGCCTGGTGCCTCTCAACTGCCATCCCCTGCTGGCCATCTTGTGGTGGCCATCTTGTGTCCACATGGGGGCAGTCATCTTTGACCACAGGGGGTAGCTATTGTGTGTTGGAGTGATGGTCAATCTGCATATTAATCTTTTATTAGATAGGATAGAGGCCTGGTGCATGGGTGGGGGCCAGCTGGTTTTCCCTGAAGGGTGTCCTGGATCAGGATGGGGGTTCCCTTGGGGCATGAGGCTGCCTGAGTGGTGGTTTGCAGGCCAGCCATGCCCCCTGGTGACCCAAGTGGAGGCCCTGGTATCTGGAATTTATTTACCTTCTACAATTGAAACTTTGTAACCTAGAGTGGAGCCAAGCCTTTTCTCGCTCTGTGGCCAGATGAAATTTCTGTTTGAATTTTTTTACCTTCTATAATTGAAACTTTGTAGCCATTAGTGGATGCCTACTCCGGCAAGGGCAGGTGGAAAGTTTGGCTTCTGCCATTGCCTACGAAATCCAAGCCTCCCTCCTGCTCTCTATGGTTGTAGCCATCTTGGATGGGTTTATTTGCATACTCTCTCTGATTGGCTGGTGGGCATGTCTGGTGGGCATAGCTTGTGGGTGTAGTGGAGTGGTGGTTAATTTACATATTAATCTTTTATTAGGTAGGATGGAAATAATAAACCAGCTCTATCTAGATACTTTACAGAGAGTTATGTATGCACTTTAAAGGAAGTGATATACATGAACCATTTTAAAATTTGTAACAATGTTGTGCAACTATGGATTGTGAGAGCTTTGGTGGATGTGAAAGTTATCTAAAAGGGACATATGCTACTCCATTCATCACCAATGTTGATTTAATTAATCAAGATAGATGGTTTTGTTTCCCATTTATCTATCCTTCTTGAGAATTCCTCTGAAAACTATCCACCATTTTCTCTCTATTTAAGAAAAACAATCACCCTGGTTCTGCATATGGACAGCATTTACATACAGTTTACATGAGGTCTTACAGTACATCTAAACATCCATTGTCTCTCCCCCTCACACACAGTTTTTATACACTCGTGGTGACACTGGTCCAAGGTAAAATGGCACTATGTCTGCTTCTACATGCTGCTCCAAAGAGGCAGACACAACACAGCTGGAGCAAGAAATGTGACTGAAATACTGTCCCCTACTCTATGTTTCATAATCTAGATAAAGGCAAGTTCTCTATCTGAGACCCCAATAATGAAACTTACCAACTGAAGCTTAACACTGACATCAGGAGAAGTAACTCGGCATGGCACAACCACCTCTTGGGTTCCAGTAAACACGTTGATCACCAATGGTGTATCATAGTAGGTCTCCACAAATACCTGGTTGTCATCTGCAGTAATGACAAATCAGACCATGACTGTTATTGTCATCAGGATAAGAGTTCATAGTTTTTAGATGACACTTGAAGATGGTTATATTTAGTTCTATAATTTTAAACAAGAAATTTGGTTCAGAGAAGGAAAAGAACTCAACAAAGGAGTACAGTGAGGACTTGAAGCCAGGTACTCTAACTCCTAGGAAATTTCCCCCCACACACACACACAAGAACCAGGAAAGAACACAAGTCTGTTCATAAAAATTTGTAAGAGAAATCCATTCCATTAATTTTACCTATTGGGTCACATGGTATAAGTCAAATTTCACATCTACATGGTGATGTCTCTGATGGTTATCAAATTTTCTGTCATATAAAATCATTATTTCTTTTCCATGTAAACGGTTTAAAACTCTGTGGATTCCCTGCACATAATGATTGTCAAAACAATTTAAGCTAATATCTATAGTGATTAATGGATTAGGCATATTACATTCTATATCCAGGATAATTCTTTATTTGAATAATTTATCACTATCTATGCCAAAATCAGATTACTGCTGTCCTTTTATAAATGAAAATGCATTTGTATGTCTACAAGCAATCTCAAGTTACATCTACTTTGCTTATCTACAGGAGATCTCAGACCCAATCAATAAATTTATGTGGGCACTTGCAGTGTAGGCACTTCTGATATGGTAAATATGCAGAATGTCAATCTGAAAATAGAGAATGCTTATATTGGATTCCAAGATGGCTGTGGAAGAGCTGGAAGCTCAATCCTTTTTATCCCAACCACGGACTGGACTTGGAGCTAAACTGCAGAGTAATTGGCTTGAAATACCATTTGAAGTATTGTGATCTGAAATATTGAGAACAGAGACCACAGAGCAAAGATAGTAGATATGGAGAGAGTCTGGGAAAGGCTGCCTGAACACAGTTCTATAGGGGAAGGAAGAGAAGCTGAGAGCTGCAACATTCAATGGACAAGACCTGAGGCAGACCCAGCTTCTGGGTTCAAAAAGCCTACTTTTCTTATTTGTTCTTTTCTTTTTATTTTTTATTCAATTATTCCATTTTTATTTTTCTACTAGTGGCCCAGTACACAAAATTTGTGCACATTAAATGGAAGTTAATTAGAGAAAATATTTTAATATTACTATTTGCCCTTTCTCTATAATAGAAGTGTCCAGCCAGCCCCACCCCCAATGGGCAACACCAAGACCCAGCCAGCCCTAGCCCCATCAAGCCCCGCCAGGTGCGGGGGCGTGACCTCATGTTCCCCAGCCCAGGCACCGGTGTGGGGAGTGCAGTCTCAGGTCCCCTGGCCCTGGTCCATGCCATGCAGCCTCACCTAGACCTGCCATGCTGTGAGACCCCAGACCCACCATGCCACAGGACTCATCAATGCACCTCCTGGTGACTAGTGGTTTGGTTGTTATGGATGAAAATAAAGTCTTGCATTTAAGCATGCACATTCATTTTCAAAGCCTGATTTGTCTATGTTCTTTAAATTGTGAGATAAATAAGATCTTCAGCCAGATAGCATCATAATTCCAAGTTCTTTATAAAATGACACATACCATTCTCTCTACTCAGTATGTTCCATTTGAATGGATTAAATGTATGTGACTCATATAAAAGGCACTGCTGCTTGCTCTTAATAGAGGAAGCATTAGCTCATTACCTATCACCATAAAGTGGTTTAAATGGCATATACCGAAGGAAAAAGAACAAAACAAAACAAAAAACAACGTTCGGTGCTGTGGACTGCAGAATCCTCTCCCTTTCTCTTTGTTTTTGTTTTTTTATGCTTTTCCTATGAAACTATCTGCACACTGCCTCAAAATCAACACAGAAGACAAAATCAGATGCTGTAATCTGCATTTTATAGTGCCATTTGAGTACAAAGAGGTGTTTTTCAATCTTTACTTTTTTCTTTTCTTTTTTTTAATCAATGCAACTCAAACTTGCTCCTAATGTTCCAGGAGCTAGAACAACATGGCTGTGCAGACACACCTTTGTTGGGTGCTGTCAGGCTTCAAGGCTGGGGCAGGGAACATGCCAGGTGTTGCTGGTAATAAATGAGCTCTCCTCTCTACATAGCAGGAGTCTTTTCATTATAAAATGCAAAGCAGCAGCTATTTTTTCATTATTCCCATCCCCAGCCCTCCTAGCCTGGGGTGGGGGCTTAGGAAAGGACTGGGAGGATATTTACTCTCGGCTCTTTGATTTCTCTTATTTAACTGAGCCCAGTGACAGCTGCTTCTCTGAGTACAATTGAAGCTGGCTCAGGGCTAGCTGCATCTGGAAGGCAAGTGGCAGAGCTGAGCAGGGGCTTTGACCAAGCCCAAGAATGTGGGTCACAGCAACCTCAGCAGGCGGGCTGCTCCTGAAGACTTTAGGCCCCTCACAGCTCCACACCCCAGTTCCCTGCTCTCCCGCTCTCACCCAAGGCTTCCACTGGCGTGGTGTGCACCAAGGCTTGGTGTGCTGATACTGGGGTTACAGGGTCGAGATGCTCTGCCTCCTCCTGGCACTTTGAGCCACAAGTACAAGCAGGGACCTTTCCACTCAGTCTTGGTCTTTGGTCAAAGATGAGGTTTTCTGGACTCTCTAGGTCAGCGACAGCCAGGACCTTTCATTCTGACCAATGCTGTGCCTGCAGCCTGCCTGGGGTACCCCAGCCTTGGGAAAGTGTGGGGGCAAGGCCAGCCTGGGTGAGGGGTTATGGGAGGGATGGGGGGTTGGCTAGCCACCTCACCCTCAATTGAAGTGGGAGAGGCTGACCAGGAGTGGGACCGGGGGGGGGGCAGGGTTGCCATCTTGTGAGGGTATTATGGTGTGAGGGTCAATTTGCATATTACCTCTTTATTATATATGATTCTATATTTTATTTTATTACTAGAAGCCCAGTGAACAAAATTTGTGCATGGAGGGGGTGTTGTCCCTCAGCCTAGCCTGCACCCTCTCCAGTCTGGGATCCCTCGAGGATTGTCTGACTGCCTGTTTAGGGCAGATTATTATGCATTCAGAGATCAGGATCGGGACTAAACAGGCAGTTGGACAACTCTCTCACAATCCAGGACTGCTGGCTCCCAACTGCTCGCATGCTTGCCTTCTTGATTGCTCCTAACTGCTTCTGCCTGCCAGCCAAATCATCCCCTGACCACTCCCCTGCTAGCCTGGTTGACACCTAACTTCTCCCTTGCCAGCATGTTTGCCCCTAACTGCCCTCCCATGCAGTCCTGGTCACCCTTAACTGCCCTCCCCTGCAGGCCTGGTCTCCCCCAACAGCTCTCCACTGCAGGCCTGGTCACTCCTAAGTGCCCTCCCCTGCAGGCATGGACCCTCCAAACTTCCCTTTCCTGCTGGCCATCTTGTGGTGGCCATCTTGTGTCCACATGGGGGCAGGATCTTTGACCACATGGAAGAAGCCATCTTGTGTGTTAGAGTGATGGTCAATCTGCATATTGCTCTTTCAATAGATAGGATAGAGGCCTGGTACATGGGTGGGGGCCGGCTGTTTTGCCCTGAAGGGTGTCCCAGATCAGGGTGGGGGTTCAGTTGGGGTGTGGGGTGACCTGGGCGAAGACCCTGGTATCTGGGATTTATCTCCTACAATTGAAACTTTGTAGCCTTAAGCAGAGGCCAAGGCAGACCAGGGCTTCAGAAGCTTGGCTTCCTCCATCGCTGGGGGCAACCCTAGCCTCCTGCTCTTTTCAGCTCCATGGCTGCTGCCATTTTTGTTTGATTTATTTATCTTCTATCATTGAAACTTTGTAGCCTTGAGTGGAGGCCTAGGCCAGTAAGGGCAAGTGGAAAGCTTGGCTTCCTCCATTGCCAGGGAAACCCAAGTCTCCGTCCTGCTCTCTGTGGCTGCAGCCATCTTGGTTATGTTTTATTTGCAAATTCACTCCTGATTGGCTGGTGAGTGTCGTTGGTGGGCGTGACTTGTGAGTGTAGCAGAGGTATGGCCAATTTGCATATTACTCTTTTATTAGATAGGATTACTTTTTAAAAATATATTTTATTGATTTTTTACAGAGAGGAAGAGAGAGGGATAGAGAGTTAGAAACATCGATGAGAGAGAATCATAGATCAGCCGCCTCTTGCACACCCCCCACTGGAGATGTGCCCACAACCAAGGTACAAAACCAAGGCCTTTGATCGTAATCGAACTTGGGACCTTTCAGTCCGGAGGCCAACGCTCTATCCACTGAGCCAAACTGGTTTCAATGATAGAATTACTTTTTAAAATTATTATTTTTTCTTTCATATTTTTATTTTTTTCTCTTATCTCCTTTCATACTCTGTTTCCTTTTTCTTTTTTTCTTATCCAATTTTTTCTTCTTTTTTTTCTTTTATTATACATTTTAGCCTCTTTTTTCTTCTCTAATTATTTTTCTCTGTTCTTGTTTTGTTTTGTTTTGTTTTTTTGTACTTGGTGGTGGTTTTTTTTCAGCTTAGTCTTATTTTGTCTTGTTTAGTTTTGTCAGCGACGTGAATACTTTGACTCACATGTGAGCTGCAACTTCTCATCGAAAGGTCAGATTTTGCCCAGAAAAAGGTGAGGTCTGCAATCCAGGCTGAAGGGAGAAACACTTGCAGTGGGACCTAAAGTTTCAGAGGAAGTCTGCCCCCCCCCAAAAAAAATTCATCTGGAATAAAAAAAGACCCTGCATAGCTATAGCTACCCTGAGAACGTCAAGGGGAGGGGGGAAGGGAAGACATGTGTACTATTATTTGTATTACTTTAAACAATTAAAAAAAAACTATTTGAAGAAGAAAAAGCTGTGCTTGCCCTGACCAGTTTTACTCCGTGGATAGAGCATAGGTCTACCAACTGAAGGGCCCCGGTTTGATTTCTGTTGGGGGTACATGTCCAGGGTGTGAGCTTGATCCCCAATGTCAGTTGTGCATGAGGCAATTGATTAGTGATTCTCTCTCACATTGATATTTCTCTCTATCTCTCCCTCTCCCTTTCTCGCTAAAATAAAAAAGAGCTATGGTAC